GACGTAGATGTTGTGGACAAAGAAGTGGTTGAGCTGGATGAAACTGTTGAAGATACTGTGACGGAGCTTGTCGAAGAGGTGCTCGTTGCAGTAGTGGTTGATGAGGTGGATGTCGTGGATGAGGAACTAGTTGAGCTCGTAGAAGAAGTCGTTGAAGATGTAGATGTTGAGGTTGTCGTGCTGGTGGAACTGCTTGATGAAGTAGATGTAGAAGAGGACGTGGAACTGCTCGATGTCGATGTTGTTGTGGAGCTTGTAGACGACGTCGTTGAAGATGAAGACATTGAAGTTGTTGAGCTTGTGGAACTGCTTGATGAAGTAGATGTAGAAGAGGATGTGGAACTGATCGATGCCGTGGTGGAGCTTGTAGACGAAGTCGTGAAAGACGAAGACGTTGAGGTTGTCGTGCTGGTGGAACTTGTTGATGAAGTAGATGTAGAAGAGGACGTGGAACTGCTTGACGATGTGGTGGAGCTGCTGGCAGACGTGGTCGACGACATGCTCGAGCTGCTGCTTGTGGATGTCGAAGTAGATGTGGAGCTTGTGGAGCTTGTTGTTGTCGAAGTCGAGGTGCTGGAGGACGTGGAAGAAGTGCTCGTGCTGGAAGATGTGGGGCTACTTGACGAAATGGTTGCGGATGTGGAGATGCTGTTTGTGGTGGATGTAGAAGAAGACGTGCGACTTGTCGATGTGACAGACTTGGTTGTTGACGACGTACTGGATGTCGAAGAGGAAATACTTGTGTGCGTCATGGTTACGGTGATGGTGGATGCCGTGCTTGATGATATTGTGCTTGACAGTGAGGTTGACGTCGTTGCAGACTTGGTAAGAGTGGTCGTGGTGGTGGACGTGATTGTGAACGGAGGTGTCCAAATCCAATCGGAAAATAATGTTGATTCGGCCGCGGTGGCAGGACCGTTCGGGTTCGCAGCATATACCAGAATGTATCGTTCAGTGGCCGCCGTTCCGTTTGCAATCAAGTATGTCTCGAGTGTCGCAACAACGGATCCGAGAAGCCTTTGGTTTGTGCCTGAGGCATCTTCCGCCAAATACACCTGGAACTCGGACACAAAACCGTAGTCCTGAGCAGGGTCCCGCTCCCAACTGACGGTCCCCCCAATATAGTTCTCAAGATAGTCTTCGTCTGTGAACGCGACGCTCGCCACACGGACATCCCCCAACTCGTGATTGGACGAATCATAGATCGCGACATAACCGGCTTCTGCAAAGGTGGTTGCCATTGGAACTCCCGCACGGTTGGCGAGCACCACAAGCCACACCCCATAGTAGCCAAATTGCAAATCGCGAGCGGTGTTTTCCAAAGTAACTTGGTTCGTACCGACAGGGATATGGTATTCCACCGGATCCGAGCTGGAGTTGTAGGGTACCTTCGGGCGCGAAAGTGGTGTTGCTTGCGTCCCTGCACTGTAATACATGCTGCTATTTGTCCCTGGCTGGCATCAATGTTGATGGCGATCGAGAGAAAACACGAAACTAAGCCAAGGCACCTTCTTGGCGAGGAACTGGATGGCACCCAGATTTTCGGACTCCTTGTCGTGCGACACCCACACTGCATAATGGAGCACTGAAGCCTCCTTAGCTCCGAAGTCTCCGAGGCGTCATGGAGAGTTCGGAATTCAAACTTCCACACCTACGCGGCTGTGAAAAGCGGCGCAAACCGCCTTTGGAAACAGGCGTGGCATGGACAATCAGGCACTAAGCTTATACCTTCATGATACCTTCATGATACCTTCAAGGAAGCCCTTCGGCTTTCCGACCAAGCCTTATTTGCCACTAGCTTCCCTCAGCTTAGTTTCGTCCGCGGGCGGATCCCAGCGGATGACCCCTTCGATCAAGTACTCATCCGTGTCAATATCCGTGAACTGCACATTTCCTTAGGTCCCCGGCCCGAGTCGCGAGTCCCAAGGCTGAGGTGGGATGAGTGCAGGGGTGGCTTCGCTAGTCCCGACCACCCGAAATCCGAAAATCCGAACAATGTCAGTAATCTCGAAATCAGGACCTTCAGCCTCAGAGCTTCAACACAGCTAGCACCTGATGTCTCTGAGCTCAGGACGCCTGCTAAGGCTTTCGGGTCTATGGGTTCAGACTTGCACCTTCGCGTCTGGCTGCAATCCGAAAGATGGGAAAGGGGAGACGACCGGAGCCCCACCATCAGGATAGCTTGTGCGCTTCACCAGCTGCATTACATTTCCAGACACGCTTCCAACACCGCCACCCTCGCAGCACGTGAGCCAAGCCAGGCCAACGGCGACGAGCAACATGCGCATGGCCCACATGGCCTGCCCAGCTTGAGATTTGGGTGGCGAACGCTGACTCGCTCGCTCGCCCTTGTGTTCACTGTAATTGTTGCCTCCCGCTGTAATTAGAGGGTTGAGGTTGGTGGGGGCTTCATAGTGGTTATGGCCGAGAGTGAGATGGAGACAGAGAGAGAGGAAGGAGAGACACAGGGAGAGGCAGAGTGTGGGCGGGAGAGGAGGGAACGCAGCAGGAGATTCAGCGTGGACGTGAGCGCCAGCAGCATCATTCCCACCGTCACAGTATCAGCAATAACAAGATCACTATCACCACAAACCACCATCACGATCATGATTATCATCTACACCAGGATTGGCATCATCATCATCATGTTGTTCACCAGCGGCATCACCTCGTCGCCATCACCATCGAATTGGAATTGCTATCGGCATGGCTTTACCAGACCGTTACTATCACTGTCACCTTCACCCCTCTGGTTCATTTCGGCGGGACGTGCCTCTCCTGGCCGTGTCGTGCACAACGAGCCATCTGCAAGGCTTCGATGGTTTGTAGCAATGCCTGCTCTTTCTGCCCTGTCACTCTGCTATGTTGTGGATACCAGGCGGCTTTGGTGCGAAAAGGTTGAACTGTCATACTTGGCTGTCTCAAGTCTGCCGAGGCCGTCGCTTGTCTACATGAAGCATGGCAACCATGGCCTGGCCTGAGCCTCTGAGGCTTTTTGAGCCAACTGCCGCACTGAGCCATGCGTCGAGTCAAGAATCAACAAATGCTCAGCCGTCCAGACGTTTACAAGATTTTACACCCATGCGACGTCCTATGTGCAGACCCTGTCCCGCTCGATCTGGAGTCGTGCCGTCTCGGAGCTGGCGACGGCTTCTCGCTGCTGAGCACGACGGGCCTTCGGTGACATCTTGGACTTCGGACGACACAAGAGCCAGCTCCAAACGGGATACCTCAACCTTCGACTCGAAGAATTGCAGAATCTCGCAGATACTCAACAGGTCGACAGGTAACATAGGAGGGCCTCAAGCGCCTCGACACTGATGTGCCCATCTTAAGGCAGAGAACACCACAACTCTCACGTCTGGGCACCTTCCCTTCCAGCTCGGCTTGCACTGTGCCTCGGCTTGAGAATTCCCTTGGTCTCGGGTAACCGTGGCTGAAAATGTGGAGGATCGGAGACGCCAGCACCGAAACTTTCACAATCGGCGAATTCGTTCAATTCGGTGTTACCTCCCTCAAGTCAGTCCTGTCGGCCCGAGACGCGCCTTCGTCCGCAGAGCACGTGGCAAAGCAACTCACTGTAGCAAGGACAAAGCAAAAGAAAAAACGAAGAGGGCCAAGCAGTGAAGGACTCTTGAAAGCCGCTCTTGCTTCAACATTTGATCATCTGAACTGCAAGACCTAACATCCCGCTAAGAAATGCATCACGCGAAGCCCTGAACCACGGAAGTGAACCCGTCAGTCCTGTACCTGCTCGCTTGGGGCCGGACGGTGCCGCTCCTAGCGCTCAGGGACAACCAGGGGTCGAAGGGTCTCAGCATGTGACTTGGCGAACCCCTGAAACTCTACGTCACGGACCCATACCACAGAGCGCTCTTTGATCCAGTAAACCTCATCCCACCCTTTTCTCACACCTGCTAAATCACAACGATTCCCCGTCGCATCCAAAGACGCTAGCTTGTTAGCAGTCGCAGCCCGCAAGGCCCTAGACCTTGCTGCCCGATCAACAAAACGGTTGAAAATCAGCTGATCAGCCAGCATTGAGAGAGGTGAACATGCACACGCTCTCTCCGAACCCTTCAACACTTGTGCAGTCCCGGATCGTCAGTTCCACAACCTCAACCGGCAGGAAGCCTCCACTCGCCAAAGCCCATCTGCACGTGCGGTGAGCTGTGCTTCCCGCAGATGTCGATCTGGCGCCTCCTGCAAAATCTGCAGGCACAAGCCCAGCCTTCCACTGCAGGCAAAGCCCTGGAGCCAGCCGTCTTCCCCGCAAGCAGGACAGCGTTACAGCTTAGATGACATATTCTCTAAGCATCAGACAAACACCTTCTTTGCCGGTGAGGTCTCGTCAGACTTCAGAAGCAACACGTGCATTAAATCAAATTGAAAGACGACGAGCAAAATTGCAGAAGGAATCTCGTGGCTATAGGCCTATAGGAAGTCCTCGGACAGCCATGCCTGCAGCCTGGTGGCCAAGCACACTAGAGAACCAGAGACTGAAAAGAGATTGAAGGGATTTGAAAGATCCGCTGCCTACTCTGCAGGCGCACGCCACTGCCAGGGCCGGTGACCGGCAGCCGCTCCGGGCCCGGGGGCAAAGGCTCGGCAGGTGCCGCAGGCCTCCCGAGCTTCGGAAATAAATCCTCCGTGCACCCGGCATTCCCGTTTCCATCACAGGCACTAGATGCGGCCCTTTTCCTTTCGCGGATCGACATCAGCCGTGACATGCGGCCTCCCTCAGCGCCTGCCTCAGGTACATGCTCTGGCTGCCAAAGCTCTTTCTAAGACCCTGTCTAGCAAGTGTCAATTTAAAAGACGCCCGTACGAGCACCATCACAGTGAATAAGATACCTGTGCTGTAGGGAACTGTCTGTATGCCCGTAGAGTGGCAAAACTCAGAACCACAATCGCTACTGTATGTTGTAGCAGCCACCAATGCCACGACTGGAGTATTGGCTGCAATGCGCAGGTCAAACCGCAAATTGCCAGCTGCTGTATCAACTGACCTGATGCATGCAACTAGGGCACACATGGCGCTTTGATGTTTCGATGTGCTGCATGACGTTCGGCAGGCTGGTGAAGTCGCGCATGCAGACGGTGCAGCGAAAGGTTCCATCTCCCACATCTGCCACGAAGGGCGCCTAACAAGATCTTCATGCTGAAGTCTTATATACATCTGTCTGAAGAGCCGCTCGCTGGGCAAAAGTATGTGGAGGGCTGAAGAGGCTGATATGAAAGCCGAGGGGCAACCCGCACCATCAGGAACGAAAAGATGCAGCGCAGAATGTCTTCGTTGAACTCCGGTAAGCCCGGATACTCCCCGGAAAAAGTCATAATCAAGGCGAAGCGGGATTCCAAGGGTAGGCTCCCTGCAACCTCTGTCTCGGAAACGCCCCGTTCCAGGTGTAAAGCGAAGCCGGCGCAGCCTCTGCAGACGGGCTCGCGCCGCCCTCGTCGAGGTCTTTTGGAGAAGTCGCTTTCGCTGGCCCACTGGACCTGGCCGGAGCTGAAGGCTCCGGAATCCTTCCATCGGCCGCAGTAGCGGCATCGATAGAACCACGGGGCTACTTCCTCAGTTTCTCCCATTAAGCCACCCCCCTTTAAGCTCGGGTAGTCATCAAGTCGAGTGCGGACGAGCTTCTTTGTCCACTTGCCTCTGCAAGTTTTGCGGCATGCGCAAAGGCCCTCTCCTGCCATAGAATGGTCGAAGTTTTCGACACAGGTCGAAGCGCGAAACTGCACCTCCATTCTTTACCTCCTTGCCTTAGGAGCCCCAAAAGCCCATGCCCTGGCCTTAGCTCGAAACCCAGCCCTTGCAGCGTGCCATGGCCACCACAGAGCTAGGCGTTGGAACCTGCAATCACCTTTCCTCGCTCACATACTGTGTGTCGTCAGAGGTAAGTTGCAGGCGTGCCGTGCTCATTTCAGAATCGGCGACAGCACACCCCGAGATGCTAATACACAAAGTTCATGAGTGCTTGGTGTCTTCGCCGAGGCTGGCGAATGCATGACATGCTGAAGCTGTTCCAGTGCTCTTGGCAAGCTATCTTGGAAACGAGCCAAGACACGGGCTGCGCCTCGACGGAAGAAGGACCACAACAGACTGCACTGATAGACTACTGCCCAGTGTCTCTTAGTCGGTTCTTCAAGGCTCACAACTTGGGCACCACCTAAATTCCTGCATGTCCGATGCAACCAAAGCCTTCCGAACCCCAAGTCCCAATCACCAAGCGAAGCCTGAGGAGCTCATCCAGGATGCTGGGGTTCGGGCGCGCCTGCAGCTACGAGTAGGTTGGGCAATGCAGGGCTGAGCTGCTGGTCCATACCCTGGACATGACGCAGCTTAGTGTGCCTGCAGTTTGCAGGATCTCTTCGAGCAGCTGCACATGTCAAGAACAAGATGCAGCTACACTGTGTATTCTCAATTCCGCTGACTGCTACTCTCTTTCTCTCCCTCTCTCTTATCCGTGATTTCCCTTGTCAGAGGCGAGGGCATGAGGGAGGCCTTTGCCCTGTTGCCATCTTCAACAGGCCGCCCTTGCTGCGCGCGTCGGCGGAGCGTCTTTTGTCTTGTCTCCTGCTACTGCCCAATGGAAGCTGAGCGGCGCTGGAAAGACTGGAAGCCTTCGCCCTGTCCCGCACACGGTCAAGGGCAGAGTCCATTGGCTGCGGCTGACACAGGACATGGCTTCGAGGCACGGGTCAAGAAGTCACGGGCAATGCTAAGTCAGTCCTCGAGAAGACCCTCTAACACTTGAGACCAATGCGATTGCAAGCAGCAACAAAGGCCGATGTTTAGGCTTCGGCGGCAGCTCTACGTCAACTCTAAGCCTGCACGCAGCCGGATCACGACGAGTAGAGTGGGCAAGTACGCATCATCGACGGCAGCCGAGTGAGAGAGATGGAAGAAGACCGAGTACGAAACACTGTACCTGCACCCATTCCAAGTGCCGGACAGCGGAGGCACTGGGTCACCCACGGGGAGTGCAGCTAGGGCCTGCTTGGCTTGGAGCTGATGCTCGTTGGCTACTGTAACTTCCGGCAGAGCCTCTACGCCAATGCATTAGCGGCATCAATGTCAATGCCACTGTCACTATCACCACCAGCAGCACCACCACGCGCACCACCACAATCGCCACTACCATAATCGCCCACGATCATCATCATCATCATCATCATGGATGAGCGTCGTTCTGATCATCACGGTCACCGCCATTATCCAATGCGCAAGCGTTGGGCAGATCTCATTTCTCGGACCGTGCTGGATGGCAAAAAATCTTAAAAGATGTAAATCAAAAGGCAGAAGCAACAATTGCGGCATCGAAACAGCAAAGGTATCGGCTCGTCGTCGTCATCATCAGCAGCAGCCGCAGAAGCCGGGGTGGCAGGAGCGTCGTCATCCTCATCCTCATCGTCAGCACCATATTCGTCTTCGTCATTGTCAAAATCGTAGTTGCCATCGCCATCGTCATCATGATCTTCCTCCTCCTCATCATCATCATCATCGACATGAGTTTTTCTCAGTGTCGTGGTGTTCATGGCACCACTACGACAGCGATTCGCATCAACATGCCCAGGCTTGCAAGCATGTCGGTCTTCTGCTGAGTCTACTGTAGCATGCCGCCATTAACTGACAAGTTTCACCTCTGTCCCGTCAGCCGGCAAGCTTGGACACTTGTAACTAAGCTTCAACTGCGGAGCCCTCGACCGTGGAAATTCGACCATGGGATGCTCTGATGGAAGTACAATGAAACCCGCTCTCTGTTTTCTAGATGTAGCTGGACAGCCGATCGGTCACGGGCATGGGCTTAGTTCTGTTTCATCCGCGGCAACTGAAAACCAGGGCATGGATGTCAACCTGCCGGCCTTGCCCAAATTCTTTGCAACCTTGGGGAGAGCATCACCCTGGAGAACATCCTGGCGGCACTGTGCACCAAACTTAACCACACTCGAAAGTCAACGTGCTAACCAGAGAAGATAGAAGTCTCTGTTGCCAAGCCTTGCGCACACAAGATGGCCACGACCTCGCAGCTTGGCCCGACTGAGTCTCTACACTGACTCTACACTCACCCAGGGACTTTGACTTGCGAGGGGCAAGAAAAGGATTGTCTTCCGTTTCTTACTCTACTCAGACTCCTTCTCCTGCTCCCCTTGGACTTACTCATGCTACTGATGCTACTCGCACTACTCTTACTACTCCTGCTCCTGCTACTGCTACGGCTGC